AACGTGAGCAACGTATAATTCAAAGGAAATTAAGCATTAAAGTGAATAAATTTTCATAATTGCGTTTTGCGCGTTGTCAGCCGTTTTGGCATCGCTTTTTGCTTTTTGCTTTTAGCTTTTGTAGTGCGAACAAATAAGAAGCAGAACGAGATTTGGATAGTCAATTGCTATATGTTTGCGTGTGCATGTGTGTATTTGTGTGAGCAGCCACTGTTAACAGTTCCGTGCATGATTGTCAGTGTATGCGAAATTTTATCTCATTCTCGTTAACTGTGTTTGCTCATCATTTACATAAATATGAATGTGTGGGTGTGTGTATTACGTAGTCACATGGGTTAATCACTTACGTTCGCGAAGCATCTTTGTATGTATGTATGTATGTATGCATGTATGTATGCATTTGCATTTCAATACATCGCGTGGCCTTTTGGTCAATTCTAATTGGTATTTTAAGCAAGAGAAAACAAAATTTCCCACGCACATTCTTAAGCTGGGAAATTGTATGACTTCTGTAACTTCTGAAGAAATTCCATAAGAAACCAAATTCATAATTTAAATTAAAAAAAAATGTAATGTATATTTCTTTGTATATAAATACCATAAAATTGATAATTTAACGCCTTTTATAGCGCTACTTGAAGCGTATTAAGATGATAATAACTTTGCCATGGAACATTTTTTTTACTGTTGATTAAGATTTGGCTATCAGCTGTGATTAGAATTGTAAACAATTTATTTAGACGAACGGACGAAATGATTAATAAAGTTCAATAGCACAAGTTCTGCCCATGTGTATGTGTGTGAATGTGTCAGTAGTGAGTGGAATCTACTAGAACTGAACAATTAGCAGTTGCTGATAAGAGCTCCGTCCATTTCAATTCCATTTCTAATCTAATTTGTGACTTCAATTCGTCGGCTCGTATTTGCCGCCTGCTCCCCGGTACCATTCCGTTTCCAAATACAAATGTACACTTACACACACATACATACATATGTATGTACTTCCCTTGTAGTTGTGTGTGGCCCACGCACTTTGCCACACATTCCGCGCATTATTCGCAAAGTCTCACGTGGGTCTTGGCTGCAATGCCGATTCCGTTGATTCCGTCTGTGTTGCAGCTGTAAACGTAACTGGATTTGGGCCCGCCCGGGCCACAGCCCCCGTTCGGTTCCCACCCGTTCTGCCCCACACGTTTGCATACATATTTCTCTATTTGCCTTTATATGTTTCTTTCAATTAAATGTGCAAGCAGCTGCAGAAATTGGCAGCAACTGAACGAAAAAAAAAAAAAAGTATAAAAAATAAAAATAAAAATAAATGTAGCTCATGCATTTTTATTCTTATACTTTTCACATTTTTGTTCAGCTTTATTTGATTGTGTTTGACTTTATTACGAATTCCAAGCTAAAGAGCAAGGAATATTGCGTTTAGAATGCACACACACATACGCATACTCAGAGCTATGCAGAAACAATGCAAAGAGTATAAAAATATAAATATAACAACAACACAAGCAGTAGAAGAGGAGCAGCAGCCGCTGTAATGTCGAGCAGTTTAATTACGCAATCAACAGGCGCATATGCAAAAAGTGTTGTTTTTGTTGTTGCTGCTGCTGTTATTTCTTTCGTTCCTTTTGTTTTGTTGTTATTGCTGCCGTTTAACGTTTCATTTCATTTGGTTTTTGTGCTGCTTCGCGCATATTTCATTTGCTGCGGCTGCTTTGCGCTTGTCATACGTCACAGGCAACAAGCCGATTAAATTGAGAACGACACACTGTCGATGGAGACAGCTAGAGAGAGATATAGATAGAGGAGAAAGCTGGGCAGAGGGGAGAGAGCGAGTGTGTAAGAGAGCGGGCCGGCAATAGCATGTAAATGAAATTGAAATCAACTATTGGAATCGCTCGTTCACTCCGTCAACTGCAATGGTGATCTGCTGTCGCTGTCGCTATCTCTGCCTCTGCCTCTGCCTCTGCCTCTGCCTCTGCTTTTGCTTTGTTGCGCTCTCGTTCTGTGTTATTGTTTTTCAGCAGATTTAACTGTGACTTTTGTGTGGGGATATACAGTTAACTCCCGCACTCACTCGGTCAGTTGGTTAACTGTCACTTAATGCTGCCGTCTGAACTTTAGTTATGGAACGAGGTTGTATAAATGAGTGAATGAATGAATGACTCAGTGGCAACCTACGCCTTTTTTGCAGCTGTAACTGTAAAGCAAATACCTGTATAACATGCAATTCTAATTACAAACCCTAAGTGGAATTAACATAGTAAAAGTCTCTATTTGTAACTCGAATTTCCATGAACAACACTGAGTCACGAATCCCGACATATTTACTTAATAAAATCATCAGATAACGTCTCTAAATTATTCATATCTCAATGCGGTGCGACCGCCTCAGCGCTTTAACAGGGTATTCGCTGAGAGAGAGCAGAGAAGAGAAAAAGAGCCTGCATGCAAATTAAAGCAGCGACCAGGCAAGCAGCATTTGTGGAAGGCGGCTGCGAATGGCAGGCGCAAGGAAACAGGCGAACGAGGAGAACAAGAAGTTGTTCACGCAGGTAGCAGCAGGCATACAACGCGACCGCGTTTTGCGCACGCATCATTCACAGAATGAGTAGCAGCAGCAGAAGATGAAGCAGCGGCAACAGAAGCAGGGGCAGAGGAGCTATTCGCCGCTGCTTTGGCCTCTGCTGTTTTACCACCTGCCGCACTTGTTTATGACCGCCGACTTGTTGGCGTCTCTCGCCGCGTTTGGACACTGGGACAGCCCAACGAAAGCGGAAACATGCGCATCAACGCACACATACACATCGCAACACATACAAATACATACATAAATGAGCTTACATGGCACAAGACATCAACAGCAGCAGCAAAGCAGAGGCTCTAAAAGTAGTCAAGAAGAAGAGCAACAATAACATGACTGGAAATTGGCAAAGCCATCGCTGTCGCCGCCGCCGCCGTCGTCGTCTTCGTCGTCATCGGCGCAGCGACTCATGCGCTTTTGCTTTGGGGCCTCTTTTCTTTTGCTTTAGTTTAAAACTGGTTACGTCGCAACCAGTTTTACGTCGTCTCTATCTGTGTGCGTCTTTCTGTGGCGTGTGTGTGTGTGAGTGTGAACGTGTGCTGGGGAAGCCGCTTATTGTTACGTTCTTTTTGCTGCTGCTTCTGCTACATATTCGGCCTTTGCTAATTGCTGCCGCAAATGTTAAAATAAAAAAAAAAAACAATTAGCATGAATCGCACGCTCTCCGCCGCTGTCCCTCTCTCTATGTAACGATGTGTATGTGTGAGCTGCGCTCCGCGCTATGTTTGAGCATGTGACGTCACTAAGCAATGATTGCGTGAGCTTTAACGTTAGATAAATTGTGTGGAAATGTATACATATGTATGTATATATTTTTTCTTAATGACAGTTATTTATAGGGCATTGCCAATGCGCACAAACTCGTTTTTAACGAACTTTTCAAGCAAGCAGCATACTTTAAGGCGATTTCTAAAGTTATGGCTTATCAGTGAACGCGTTCAAAGTGCAGCTCAATGTGATTACAATTTGAATGTGTGTGAGCGTGTGAATACTTGTGCAAGCAAACACACTCTCGAGTGTGCTGTATAAGTGAAAGCAAGACAATAATTCAGCTTTTGCTGCTTTGATAAGACATGTTAATCTTTCTGTATTTTGTAATTACGAGCTTCGCTACACATACACGCACACGTACATGTATACATATGTGTGCATTCTCTGTTATCATATTAGCGCAACAGCAACAGCAAAAACATTGTGCAAAAGTCAACTACGCAGCCCAGGCAAGCGGAATAGGCAATTGACAAAAAGAGAGAGAGACAGAGAGCGTTTGGGAGCGAGCGCAACATCTGGGAATGGCACATTATGAGAACAAGACGGTGGAATGTGCCGTTCATTGGAAAAGTGCGTCACTCGCGATTGGCTGTCCGAAAATTATGAATACCCTGTGCCAATAATAAATAAAGCGCTTGTCACGCCTGCTTAGCTATGAGCGCCTGGTAGAGAGTATATTCAATTCATGAGCCAACCCGACTAGGAGACATGTGAATATATCATATTATACATATGTTACATGTGTCGATACGGTATCATACTTCGCACCATTTACGTAGCCTTGTCATATTATGCATATAGTGTTTATATGTAGGGCATTTACTATGCGACTAATTGGGCCTTTCTAATTTCCTTTGGTACTTTTTGTTTTGCTTTGGGAATTTTTTGCCAGCGTTGCGATTTTATTTATAGAACATTTAACATTGTCTATGCGTTTTGGCACAGACAAGACAGAAGACACACACACACACACACACTGATATACTATATGCTTGTATGCGTGTGTGGGCATGTACACATACATTGAGCACTCGAGTGTATTTCTTTTTTTCGGGCAGACGTTTAAAATTAGCAAATCGAGCCAAGAAATTCGTTTGTAAACAATTTGCAAGCAAATCACATATAAATAAATAAAAGCAAAAGTACATGTACATAAAATATAAATATATAATATACTAAACGTACACTTACACATTTCTATGTTTGTCTCCATAATTTATATTTTGCTTAGATCTTTCTTAAATATTGCTTTGACTGGCCTTCTGCGTTTGCCCATGGAAAATTAGCAAAATTTGCTCACTAAAAACACGCACACACATACATATATACACATATACACTATATGGATCACACTCATACATATATCTGACGTCACATAGTGAAATGTCAGTGTCAATGCGTGGGGCCTCGACATTTAGTCTAAATAAAAGTTTAAATAGATTTACTCATAGCCAATTTTTGATACAATTCTAGGGTAGAGCTAGTCAAAATTTGAGAAATATTAAAAATCTGTTTATGGTAAATTAACTTATATACAGAGAGATATCTATCTTAAAGAAGAAGATTCAGACATATAATCTATTAAATTTATATGCAGTTACACTAAACTCTCTCCCTCTCTCTTTCTCTCTATCTCCAGAATCCACTGTTAATTCGCGTAAAAATGCTTTGGAGTCAACGCGCGAGAAATTGAAAGGTAAGTTTTGGATCATTGATCGCATCATCTATGGGAGTTTCGATATGCCTCTTGTTATCTCGCTTGATATATGTATGTATATCAATGTCAGGGCTTTTGCCATATCTAGGGGCTATCGCAGATAAGGTTAGACATGGAGCCCCACTGAATCATCAGCAAAAGCAACTCACTGATTGACTGATTGAAAAGTATTGGAACTTTCAACTAGAGAGCTTCGAGCTTCATAAATCAATATAAATTAGTGCGACTTATCGAATCCTGAATAAAAACCAGTTTAATTTATTATACATATTAAACCCTATATGTTTACTGTTGACTGACTGACTGATGGCAGATCAGCCAAGAAGAACTATAAATTTGCATAGGAGTTACATATTATCTGTCTTGACTTTGAAGGATTTCTGTATTTTAATCAACTGATGATTTCTAATAATAATCTTCAATTAAACTAAGCAAACACAAATTTACGCAGAAAATATATATTTAAATATTTATTTATATATATTATTTATTTATATATGTACTTATATCGTTGACCTTCGGCTGGGTTTTGGTTTGTGCTTTGTTGTTTCCCCGGTGCGTTATCGAGGAGAGGCGAAGTACGTCCCAGCTAAGGTCGAACTTTCTATGTCAGCCCATTCTTTCCCCTCGTCCAGCCCTCAGGCGCTCTGACCCGTTATTTGATGTTTAATACCATTTAATACAGTTATTATGGCTGGGGCAATTACACTTGGAGACGAGCGACTATTTAAATGCTATATATATACTATATATATGTCAATGCTCGACAATATTGATATGGGCAATACATACAAACATACACACACGCATACATATGTGCGTATATAAATGTGAGCATAAAATAGAAGTTGATAAAAGAGCGAATGGCGTGATTCATGATAGAAGTACGCACATCCAACGCAGCGCAACGCAACAAATAAATAAATGAAATAATAATAATAATATTAATAAGAATAACAATGTGCGTTGCCTATGGAAAAGAACAAGTCGGTGCGCACAAGTGGGGCATGTGTGACTAGCAGATACGCTGTCAAGAGCGAGAGAGAGAGAGATAAAGAGAGAGAGAGAGAGACAGAGAGAGACAGAGAGAGAGACAGAGAGAGAGATAGATAGATAGAGAGAGAGAGAGAGAGAGAGAGAGAGAGAGAAAGAGAAAGAGAGAGAGAGAGTGAGAGAGAGAGAGAGAGGAATAGTGAGAGAAACTATATCCCTATCGAGACAGAGAGAGAGAGAGAGAGAAACAGTGGGAGAAACTATACCTCTATCGAGACAGAGAAAAAAGAGAGAGGAATAGTGAGAGAAACTATACCTCTATCGAGACAGAGAGAGGAATAAATGATGAAAGACATTCAGGAAGAGAGACACATGCAGATAGAGAAAGAAAATACTTATAAAAATATATATACACCAATGCTCATATGTATATTTCTATATATATCTATAAGTATAATTAGATCCTACTATAAATATGGCGTATATTTATCTAGCCATATGCATATATCTTCCTGTTACATACAGCCTCAACAAACTAATATGCCCTATCCCCACATTTGCTCATTCACACGCACTCACGCACACTTTGAAAGAATTTAATACGCATATCAACAAGAGATTATGGCTTAAGCAGGGCGTACTAGATGCTCACAGCTATATAAATGTACGTATGTTGACTTGTACATGTGTGTGTGTGTGTGTGTTTGTGTTTGTGTATTTATGTATTGCTCGCATTTTATTCTGCCAGCTGCTTTTGCCATTTCACTTTCGTTATCAAAGCCACTGATAGGCGTCTACGTGACGTAGATACGATATGATACACATATGTATATATGTATGTATGTATGTAGACCAATAAATTTGTATATATGTCTCTCTCTCTGTCTTTCTGTCTGAGTGTATGTATGCTTGTATTTAGCTGGGGGCAGGGCAATGGAATTTCGATTGGCCCCAACAAATTCGTACCTTCTGATAAAGTTCGGCAATTAAGAAGCAACAACAAAAAGATGTGCGAACAATAAATCAAGTTTAGTTGGAAGACAAATTCAAGAACAATCCAATTTAGTGGCAAATTTAGATATAGTATTATATAAATATGTATGTATTTAAATATATTTATTAACGAATAATACTGAAACTTTCTTGATTTCTTGTTCAAATGGATATACAAATGAAACTGAGCTGTAATGGGATACATTGCTCTATAGCATCCATAGTTCCATATAGAATTGGCATATATTTAATGGACGTCGTTTGCTCTATTCTGACTATAGTTCTTTAATTCTCAATAAATACCCAACAAATCAAACATGATTTGAGATTCTCTAATTTTAACTTTTCAAATTATTTCACATATCAAAATCAGTTTGTCCAGATTTTACACCTTTTCCCACTGCTTCTTGCAGTTTCTTGAACCACTTCAGCTTTGCTTTCTCTTCTCTCTCTTAATTTCGTAAACAGTTTTAATATTGTTTACCAGCCCTCGAGCCCTTTTCCGAGAACACTTCAAATCTAATTAGGATCGGGCACTTGCTTAAGGTGCAAGGATATGCGATTGCAATAACTCGCCTGACACCCACAGCCACAGCCTTAGCCGTTGCCATTGCCGTTGCCACTGTCATTGCCATGGCTCACTCACAGCTGGGTTTTTCCGCAGAAGCAATTGAGAATCTCGTCGACCTGGCTACCTGAGTTGCCTAAGCCCGCTTAATAGCCCGGCTGACGCTGCTGCCGCTGCCCTTAGGTCTGGCAGTCAAGTGGCTTCGATTCGCTTCTCTCTTGGCGCTAAGTTCTTCCCTCAGCATTGAAATTTCTATTGATGATTTTTATGGGTTTTTACCCGCTAAAATCTGTCAGGTTTAATGATGCCAGCCTGTCTGCAGTTTGAGCTCGGGATTTGCACAGGTACCGAATGCACTGAGGCACGTCATTACGCTGTCTCGCGGCTGTCTAGCTGCGACGCAAGTCCTCGGGCTAGCGGCCAACAGCTGCCACTGCCAAGGCATAGGCAAATACGACTAGAGCAAAGATAGATTCGAATAGCCGGGGATATACTTGAGTGGCTATAGATGCATTTACTAGATGTGCAAATACATTTAGATCCATCAGAATTACACTTTGACAGCCATAGATACATTCTGAGCAAGATTTTAGATAGATTGTTTTCATTTTTATAGCTATAGATACATTTGAATAGAATCAGATGCATTTACTGTGGATATAGATACATTTACAATAATCCAGACACTTTTAGATACATTAAAAGCAGTTACAGATACATATACTAAAGCTGTAGATACGTTTCTAGAGATGCAGATATACATACAAATGATGAGATACATTTACCTTAATAGCGACAGATACAAATACTTTTGCTATAGATACAGATACTATAACAGAGTCATAGATGCATTAGCAGTACACATCATTCATTTGCATATCTGTAGATACATTAACAGATGTATAGATACATTTACTTTAGCTAAAGATACTTTTACAATGACATACAATTAAAGATACATTTGCATACGTTTCTGGATGCATTAGGAATAAGTGCAGATACATTCGCCCAGTCATTGTCATAGCTATAGATACATTTACTCAGCCATAGATAGATTTCTGCTGCCCACAGATACATTTGCACAGCCACAGATATAGATAGACGACAATCATCATCAGCGGCGGCAGCAGCGGCAGCAGCTGAACATTCACAGCATATTTTCATTGGCGTCGCAAGTCTGCGATCGTCTGTAGAGCTGCTCGACTGCTTAATATAAAACCAAATTCATAGCAAATGTGTGTGTGTGTGTGTGTGTGTGTGTGTGTATCTCTTTCTGTTTGTGTGTGTAAATGTATCTGCGTGCCTCACAGCGACTGGCAAAGCTCTTCAACAGTCGCCCAACTGGCGATTCCCAATCAGCAGTCGCAGCCGCCAAGGCAAGTCCACAGCCAACACACCGACAACACACACACACACGCACGCACACACACTAGCAGAGCAGCTACAACATGACACAGAATGAACTCATGCGCTGCTCTGATACCTCGACACAACAACAACAACAACAACAACAACAGCAAAAACACACAAAGCTGACAGAGACACTGTGAAGTGAGACTCTAGTGCCAGAGAATTATAATCGAGTAATAGACAGGGAATACACACACACATATACATATATAGACACACACACACACACGTACACAGTCTATTCGGCCAACACATGTTAAATGCGAGTTGGGTTTCTCAATTTTGTTTTTGTTTCTTTTTTTTGCGCTCATTTATAACACCTCATATGACGCACTTTTGCTGAGCTGATTGATTGATTGATTGACTAAATGATAGATCAGCTGATTGAAGTGCTAAGCCCAGCCTGAGAAGAGACACCTATTTCCATAGTTACAATTTGTACATACATACATGACATAAAGGATATTTGGACCAACAAGAGCTAAAAATTAGAAGTTTTAGATCATTTTAAACGATATAGTGTTAGAGCTTATTTAAAAATAACAATAAATAATCTACAGGCCTTTGCAGAAATATTAATAAACTTCTTTTCAATCACTTTCTTAGTTAATTTTAGTTTTAAATAATTATTTTTAGATCATTGTTTGTATATAATTATGTGTATGTATTATTTTTAGACCACTAGGTATTTATTTATAGTTCATTATTTTTAGGCCATTATTTTTATATTATTGATTTAAAACATTTCCCAATTATTTTTAGATCACAATTTTTAGTTCATTATTTATATTGAATTAATGGAGTAATCATATTGCAAAAATTTAAGCAATTTATCGCATTTATAGCTGCTGAAACAGTCATGTGAGATACGATGCATTTTTCACGCCTCTCGTATAATTGATCACCTTAAGGAAAACTTGATAATAAATCATAATTTCTTGACAAATCGCTTAGCAAATTTATTAAAAATATAAATTGAATTTATCGCCATGCGGCGTAATCCTAGAGCTGATAA